TCGGGGGGGGGGGGGGGTAGGGTGTTGTTCCGTAGTGTGTGTGGCTATGGCCTTGCAGCCGAAGCAGTTTTTGTCCGAGTAGGATCGGAATGGATGCATGAATGCCATTTGAATTTTGTGTGTTCTTTCAGCGTGGACGGCACAAATCATCGCCGCCACCGCCGTAACCACCATCACCATTAAAAGCAACAACACACAACGGCTTCTTCAATAAATTGTTTTACCCTCTCTGAAAAACGTGCTGTGCTGCTCTGACAGCAACCTTGTCATGGGATCGGGGTTTCTGGCACTACCGGCGGCGTTTGTGGCGACGGGAATGTTTCTTGGCGTCGCCGTGTTGTTCGCGTGCATGGGGCTATTGAGGGTGAGTACGTACGTGAGAGATGGCACACGATGCACAGATAAACGGCATGTGGCACGGCACCGTAGATACATTGGGTGCAGAGATTGCGACAGCAGCAACAGGTTTGGCACACCGCCTCTTGTAGATCTGGACGTTTTTCTCACCCCTTGACGCGACATTGATGGCACCGAGGATCACAGCTGTTGGCCGCATAATTTAGCGTCGCCCTTTAGCTGCTACCTCAAATCGGAGTGATTGTAGTCTCGATTGGTCCCGGCAACCGCAACGCGATGCAGTGGCGAAAATATTAACCGGTATTCTACGTGTTTCGTTTTGCAGTATGACGTCGCGTCATGGCAACAGGCACAACCCCTACGACTTGCACCAGCAGCAGCAGCAGCAGCAGCAGCAGCAGCAACAACAGCAACTGATTTAACCGTCGCAATTGACCGATGGTCCCCCAGCACCTACCTTCTAAAGTGAATTGGCGGCGTCAATAAACTAAACCGCAGCGATTGACGAAACAATGACGAATGACTGATGAAACAATGAATCAGATGACGGCCATGTACGAAGTGAAGGCGAATGACTGGTGAATCACCGAATCAGATGACGGCCATGTACGAAGTGATGACGAATGAATGATGAATCATCATTGCATCAGATGACAGCCATGTACGATATGGAATCACCGAATCAGATGACGGCCATGTACGAAATGATGACAAATGAATGATGAATCATCATTGCATCAGATGACAGCCATGTACGAAATGATAATGAATGAGTGATGTATCATCATTGAATCAGATGACGGCCATGTACGAATTGATGAATGACTGATGAATCATCAATGAATCAGATGACAGCCATGTACGAAATGATGACGAATGACTGATAAATCAATGAATCAGATGACGGCCATGTACGAGGTGGAGACGATGTGCCGGGCAGAGGCATGGATGAAGGCCAACTTGGTTCCTCTCGTCCACAAGCAGAGGGCTAGGGTAAGCGAGTGGAAGACATTGATGACATTGACTTCATGATTTGATCAAGCTGTCTAAAGCTCACAGTCATAATGTTCGTGCCTGTACCATGAGTGATTGGAGGGAGGTGTTTCCATGGTACGGTGTCCGATGATGACGACGCTGGCTTGTGAACTGCGATCTCCGAGATCTACATGTTTGTGGGTTGCACTGCCGTACCTTTAGTTATGGGAGGGGTGTGAAAAGAGGGAATCGTCCTCCTTGACAGACGATGGGGAGATGGTACTCCTTTTGAAGGTGCTCTTCACAGGGAGGTGCTTCTTTCCATGGAGATGTTCCTGTGTTGCGTGATGTCAATAGATAATCTACAGGTTCAGTCAACTATGACTACTGCCGTTTGATCATATTACCTCTGAACACCATTCGGGCATGTTGTGCATTCTGACAAACCGCCTCTTCGTCCTTACTTACCTCTTGGCGCCTGGATTCTGATGACTCTTGGCAGGAGGGAGCGGAGTCGGAGATGCACCTGAGCTCCCACGCCTTTCAGATGACAGAGATGTGCGAGTTGTTCGGCGGACGCATGCTGCAGGTGTCCAAAGTGTCTGTCCGTATGCGTGTGTTTTGTTAGATAGCGTTGACCGCGCCAACCAGCTGACCGGTGCATGGACGTTAGTGCCAGCGGGTAGGATATCAAGGTCCGTGGAATGGGGCCGAATTCGACAAATGAGCATCGCGCAGGAAGGGGAATGACGAAACCAGCCTACCTCTCTAGAAATCCACAACACGTGTCCGTGTGTGTTGTCCAGAGCCTGTCGTGACAAACATGCTCGTATTCACAAGACAGTCGAGGCTCAGAGGTTTGTGATGAATGAAGAAAATGGCGTGAGGCATAGAGAGCTCGCTCGCGGGCGCTACACTAAACCCTACCGTACAATACAATGGTTGTATTCAACAAGTTTTTGTTGGATTGTTTTGGCCCTGGAAGGAGTTGACCCTTGCTAAAAATACGCTGTTTTTTGTCGGGCCGGCACTTCTGCATACCGATTTTTACCGCCTCCTCCATGATTCCGGCCTTGGGTCCAACACTGCTTCAGCATTCATTAAATAGACATTTGCTGAACAACATTATTTGTTGTGTGTCTCGGGAACATGCCACGTGACCATGGCGATCTTGAGATTGAAGTTGAGGCAGACCAGTGCCAGAGCGGATGGCCTCAACGCGACATGTCTTGATGGTGTGCAGGTGCTAGCTACCGCGCGCAGCGACCCGTTTGCTACCGGCGTTTCCCACACGTTGGTGCCGGGATGCACTCGCCCAGTCTATTGCTCTCGGTTTTTGGCGTAGCTGCTGTCCCCGCGGCGGCCGGTAGCTGACTCAGCAACGGCAGCTTGATCATCTATATCTGTCACCCACACCCGCCCCCTCCCCCCCCCCCCCC